TGAGCGCTCTGCGTTAAGCATAAAGAGGACGTTCCCCGGTAGGCGGTCCAACAGAGTGGATGCCCGGAAATGATCTTGAACAGTAGACGGCTGACGGCTGCAGCACCCTTGTCACCACTGTGGAGTCGCGAAAGCGGGACATCTCTGACTCAGCGGACTGGACTAATTGAGCAAGGAAGAACAAATACGAATTGGCTGAGCGTGGGGTGTGTCTCTAAGTTATAGAGTATGAAATAACCAAGGCAACAACTTCAATAGAAAACAACTCTTTTATTCACAAAGTATATCAACATAGAAAATAACAAGAACAACTGTTAGATCTATTTCTACATTTCCTTGGACTATTAGTTGACCCGTACACGGTCAGATTCCGGGGTAGGCTTACCAGTGATTTCATCGAAAAATGGGATGCCATGAAGGTAATCCAACATTCGTTGCTTCAAGGAAGGTTTGAGTTGCACATTTAGCAGCAGTTCCTTGGCGAAATCTGGGTCCGCGTCCAACGTGCCAAATATCCTGGATATAGCGTCCCTTCATTAGAAGAAATTCCCCTTTGAAAAAACTGAACTAGCCCTGGCAGTAGCTGGAAGCCTGATTCAAGAACCAGGATCAGAAACTGGTGGGAAGAGAATCTTCAAAATAAAAACTTGTAAGGAAAACAAATCACCGGTCTCGACCCCAGAGCACAGAATACGTTGAAACAGCGGCAACCAGCGCTTGGAACGGGATTAGCTTTATTAAGAGAGATCTAGCCGCTTTACTTCCTGAAAGAAATTCTTGGCACTGCTTTCAGCTGGGGTACGAAAAGTTAAAAATCAAACGGACACTTACCTTCCCAGCTAAGTGCGAGAAAATCAAGATAATTTGTAACGCTAGGGAGCTTCCGAATTTCTTGACGTTGTAACAGCTGCAAGTACTTTAGTGCAATGAATAAGGAACTTGAGGGAAAAGGAAAGATCCGAACATAGACAGTAAAAATTATCAATGACTAAATAAATATGCAAAAAACTGCGAGAAAGTTGGCAAATAAAAAAAACGGATGAAAACACTCAGAAATTTGTCAGAATAAAACTCCTTGTAAACGATTTTCAGGGCGAGGGAAAAAGATCCAAAAAAGGAAAGACCAAAAACAGAACAGGGGGGGGGGCCAAAAAAGTCAATTTTCTTCATACTTTCGTGGCGCTATAAGTTACACTTTATAAACTCTAATCGAACATTTCTACCACCGTATTAAAGAGCATATTGAATACTATTATAAAACTCCGCCATAGCCTTCTGGACGAGCGCCATCGAGAGATTCTGGCACGCGACCGCGATGTGGTGCCCGAAATCAGCGAGATGTCGATTTCTCCACCATCGTAGACCACCCTACTGAACTCCGCCCGAGCCAGGTAACTGAGGGAATTCAGGGCAGGTGACCTACTTGGATATACCCACTTCTTTAGGTACTCAGCTCCCTTCCATTCCAAGAAGGCGAGAGTTTCTCCAACGCCCTTTGATTCCACGTGGTGGCACCCAATGCTGTAGCAGTACAAAGTTTCCAAGAAGGTAGGGGCGGCGACATGTGGGGAGGATATCCTTCTCGAGTTGCTCGATGTAACCGCCAGCGCTCACTTTCAGTCCGGGGTCCACGAAAATATAGGTCTTTCCGTTCCAGGTACCTCCAGTCCATACCATCAACCCGCTCCTTGACGACTGCGGTGAAGATGATGTCCTAGACCGTAGCGACGTTGTGGGAGCTACTCGATGATGGAGGTCTTCCAGATCGAGATTACTAGTCTCCAGGTAGTTACCCATGGGTGACTCCACACTAGAAGTTTCGCAGCTGTTTGGAGGTGACATGAATTCCAAAGGTCTTCTCCAGTCAGGCTGCGACTGGAGATGACCTCATATTTTGGTGTACATGAAGGTGATGGGCGATAGCCAGCTCCTGCTTATCGAGGAACATCTTGGGCATCTTCCGCCTTGGTACTCGTATCCACGTCCTCTGTATGGGCAGCGAAAACTTTGCTGATATGTGACTCGCTTGAAGTGACTTTTTTGGCCCCCTGTATACGTGGGTGGTGCCGCTAACTGGTGAGTGGGGTCACTGTGGCGGCCGACGGTTTCAGCGCTCTTGTCACTCACTTTTGAGCCGCAAAAGAGTTACACCCGATCGTGCAAAGGATTTCTTGGCACGAGGAAGTGATTGTAACCATCAGGTGATCGCGGAAAATGGCTTTAGCGACCCCGGTTGAGAAAAAAGGTGAAAAAGGTGAATGTGGGAGAAAGGCTGGTTCGCAGAGTGCAAGGGGGAAAAGGGGAATGGGCGACTTGACGCTTAGGTGAATGCGGGATAAAGGAAAGTGGTAGTATCGATCTAGTGACTTGGGAGAGTAAAATACCAGAAGGATCAGCGGTGTTCCGCAAGGAAAAAGGAGTCGACTGGTATCGATCGGATCTTCATCAAACATTAATCCACTCGTCACCGTCGCCAGCAATTCGACGTTTATTAAGAACGAGCGTTCTCCCGGAAAGTTAAATCGCCGATGCTCCCATTCTCCCAAGACGCCATATCGGTGCACATACTTTCTTCGGACGCATATTCTTTTAGAACATGGAATCGTTTGGCATTTTCAAAATACGAATAGAGCCAAAACGCGTCATTACAAAGAATCACCAAATATCAATACGTTATTACTAGTCTGGGGTTACGATGAAAAACAGTGACACTATGCAACCCCGCTCCCCCCCCTCTTTAACTCTTCCTAAACTTCCCTTTCGAGGATGTAGTACAAAGGAGGTAACGAGACGTCAGGAGCAATCAGGAAAGGAAATCAGGAATTAGTAGGCCGCGAAAGAAAGCATTAGCTCGCTAGGAAGATGCTACTGCACGCGCCCTTCATTATGCCTTCTTCCCCCTCCGACACGAGTCACAGTACTGCTAGCAATTTATAATGTGCTGCTGAACACCGCACTTCGCGCTCCGAATGTCATCGCCAAGCTGACCAGGAAAGGTCAGCAGGTCAGCCCGGCCATTTGCAATGAGATGTACAGCACTGTGCTTGCATTGAGACGGCGAACTCAGAAATATCTTTAAAATTTGCGGAACGATTCCCTGAGCAGAGTTATGGAGGTTTTTCTTTACTGCTTTCCTACATACGGGCCGTTGGCACCTGTAGCGTAACTCACAGCACGCAAAACAGGCAAAATATTCGTGTTTAGAGGGTCAAATAACCCCTAGAGACAGCACCTTAGCGAAATCTGTGGTTCTGATTCAACTTCGAAAAAAATGGGATTAGGTTACTCATGGCTAATTGGTAGCCAACAGCGATACTACGGCTAGCCTAGTGGTGACGACTGGTCTTCGAACTGAAATAACTCTTCAGTCATGTTTTTTTCGCAAAGAACAGTACCTGGCTTACTTATTCGTACCGTCTGCATCATTCTTCTGATTACAGGGAGAAATTTATCCAGGGACCAGTCAACGATGGCAAATGAGCTCCAGTCTGCTGCTAAGCCCATAGAATAGCCCACATTTTCCGAGTTAGGTAGAAATATCAGATTCGGTTAGAAACTTGCCTCCAAAGGTAAGTTGACCCGCTGAACATGAATATCATGGTATTTCATTGCAGAAACCTTTATGAAATGTGTTACGAGGGGGCAAGCACAAACACTCTTTCAGGCCACAGTGGGTCTACACCCTTGTGAAAAACAGATCGCAGGTTACCTTACAAGGTAGTGCACAAGAGCAGAGATTTTAGATGCTTTGTCGGCCACGTTGTTGGACAAATGCAAAAAAACCAGCTGCCGGGATCCGATCCCACGACGTCATGCCTAGGAAGCCCCCTCGCTATCCGTTGCACTCTACTCCCACGTTCTAAAGTGAGCCCATACATTAATGTAAAGATGCTTCCATGTTTTTTCGGAGTACTCTGTAAAAGAACCACGAGAGGATAGATCCCTCCATAACCCCGCTCAGAGAATCGTTCCGCAAATTACAATGACAGATTTGAGTTCACCGTCTGAAGGTGCGTACAACGGTGTGCACCCCATTGCAAATGACCGGGCTTACCTGGACCATTCCTGGTGAGTCAAGAGCAAAAGTCTTGACCCCATTGGACATTAAAGCGTGGAAAGCGGGCTACGATACGTTGCGGACTGGTCCGGGAAGCGTGAGACGCGGGTTCGAGTCCATTCTGGGTCAACATTTTTGCTCATAACCCAACTTCCTTTGAAAACTTTCAGCAAATATACTAGAAACATAAAAAATATATAGCATATATAACATTAAACAAACGTACAATGTAATGACAGAGATATGGCGTTGTCAGGAGTGGGAGGACGAGACCAGTGCTGAGAGCAATCGCCACGTTTTTGCTCAATACACATGAACTGCATGGCTTATGTTCAGAGAAAACATCAGGCACAACAGCAGCATGCTGAAAGGTTTGTGGATCTAATGACAACAATAATAACAAAATAGACAAATCAAACAAAAACCGACAATAAGAAAAAAATAAAAGAAACTAGTGCTCAAGGGAAGTACTACTATACTATAAAAATAGAATCAATTCTAGTAGGGGGAGGGAGAGGACATTTTGTACACTTGCTCCTTCCCATCGGCGTGTCTCTCCGCCTAGGAGCTCTTTCATGAGTTTACGAGAGTTGATAGGTTTTACCATGGTGCCCAGCCTCACAAGAGTTCATAGCTTTTACTAGATTGAGATTTGTAAACGGAACTAGTGGAGCAGCGAAAGTACAAATGACCCACCCTTTTCCTCGTTTTTCCAAAACACAACCTTCCTCTCCAAATTTCTTTCTTCAGCTCGACCCCACTTCCAAATCCTATTTGTCATCACAGTAAACGTTCCCCAAATGACTCGTCGAGGTCTAGCGGAGGAGGGGGAGGGAGGCGTTGACCGAATAAGGACAAATAGCGCTTGTGAAAAATTAAAATCAATAATCCAAAGTCTTTTACAAGCACAACTAAGGGTGAGGACATGCAGCAGCACGAAGTCAACTTGTATAGGTCCCCTCAGCGATGTAGTGCTCCATTCCCATGCCGATATATAGCCTTAGATGAGTAAAAAAGACGGGTAAATGCAGCCCAGTCGCGCAGCCTGTCCATCACTCTCTCCCCCCTCCCCTCGGACATCCGTCAATGTCAGTGGACAGGCGTTGGAGGGAAAAATTTGGAAAATACGACCCCCTCTGCTTTGAAAATCCCTCCTCTGCTACAATCCTTCTCCGCATTCCACCAGCCATCTTTCTATATTCTCTTCGTTTTCTACACTTCTGTTTTTTTTCCCGAGAAACGTGGAGCCGGGGGGGGGGTGTATAGCGCAGATGAAACGGGGAAAAAGTAAGGAAATTCGCAAGGGTGCTGAGTTGTGCGCAAAAGTCCGACTACGGGCGGGATACGAGCTCGCGTCTACCGCTTTCCGTGCGGTTGCGTTCCCCTACGCTACCGGGGCAACTCTTGCCCTCTCATCAATGGCTGCTTGTGCCATTGCCTTCGAGCACTCACACGGTCAACGTTATGAGCCGATTAGCCGATATCGTTCAAAACGTTCAACTAACCTGCTCATCAAGTTGAACGTGTGAGTGCTCGAAGGCAATGGAACAAACAGTCATTGAGCTGAGAGGGCGAGAGAGGCCCCGGTAGCGTAGGGAACGCGACCGCAGGGAAAGCGGGAGATGCGGGTTCGAATCCGGCTGGTGCCCGGACTTCTGCCCACAACTCAGCACTCTTTTTCGGACCGCGCACTGCGGCAAACAGCAATTACTAAGAAAATCCAACAACCGACAACATTTTTTGCGAAATCAGTATAAAGGCACGTCGGCGACATGTGTGGGAGGCATTTCGCAGTTTTGCTGCTATACTAGTTCCTGCTTACAAGTCAATAGTGAAACCTGTGTGTATGTGAAGCACGAGCAAATTCCTCGTGTCACCATGGTAAAACCTGTCACTCAAGAAAAAGCTTTTAGAGGGATCGGCACGTCGATGGGAAATAGCAAAAGTGCGAAATGCCCCCTTCTCCCGTCGCCGCACTGCCTCTACCCTTCTCCGAATATTTGGGTCAAACAAAAAGGACGGAGCAGGAAATTACCTGGCGCATCATATAGAATGAAATTCCAGATGTGTAAACGCCGAAAGCAAATGGGGACCTCGGACACGTTCTGATCGATTCCAGCAAGGACATCTTCGGATTGAACATGAATGCATTCGGAACTGATTTTGGTCGCTAAAAAGTAAAATTAAAGCCAAAAATGAACTCGCTGCAGTAGATAGATCAGCCAATAGATGAAGAGAATTTCTTTCAGAGGGCAACGGAAGACGTTCTCAGCCTCTTGCCTCCTATCGACTAAGCCGCGGCTGCCATTCGTGGACAGCGAGAAACAAATGCAAATGTCACGGTGCTACGTAACTTCAATGAAAGAAGAAGCAAAAAAACCGTCGGAAATACATCTATAAGATTCCTATGAGTGCTTTACGAGCATACTGAAAAGACTCTCGGCGTAGAAAAGAGAAACAAAGATTGAGACGCTTACCGCTTCGTAGCCATGAGAATGCAAAGTCATAAAGGTAAAGTCCGGCATGTATGAAGTTATTGGTTTAACGAAGTAAATGTTGGAAGAATACTTGAAAAGGGATCACGAGGACGGAGACCGCTCATCGTTGCAGAGCCGCGGGGTCCTTACCAAGCACTTTTGAGTCGCGAAGTCACAGCGATTGCACGCTGCGTCACGTTGTTCTGGGAAAGCTCTTTACATGTCTGATAATAATCTTCAGACGTTGTCCTTCATATTACTGAGCTGTACTGTACGCCACACCAAGAATGCAGCTTGTTCTTCTTCCCTACTATTGTGGATTCCCAGTGAAACGAGTATTTCCATTCCCACGCTAAATGAAAGAAAAAGGTCTGCTATCCAACTCAGGGCGGGAATAGTGGAATCCGCGAAACACCTTGATAGAAACAGCCACTGCGAAAGCCCACTTTGGAAATCACAGAATACGCGAAAAGGCTGCGTTCAAATAGGACGACTTTGAAGAACTGATGAATTTGTGAGGAAAAAGGAATACTGCGTTGATTTGAAGAAATGGCGAATGCGGGGAATATGGGAAATGCACTATCAGCACAATCGGCATAAATGCCGAAATCCGTGTCAAATACCGGATAGGAATTAATCGTTCAGCCCCGTCCTCTTGGCTGTCTAGAAGGATTGAGAGAGCAGAATCTGACCAAAACATAAACATTCTTTTTCTTGCAGTTCCGCTTTTTGCGTACGAACATGGCCAAAGTAGAGGATACGGATCGATTCCAGCAGCGCCCATTCGGATGGAGTCGTCCAAATGTATCAATAAATAAGCCTTCTCGTGGATCCTCTTATTCTTTCAAATCTCCCAAATGCTTATAAAAATAGAAGTCACGGTACGTCCTGCTGTTGGAAGAAATTTTAACAAGAAAATAACTCCTAAAAGTTTTCCCCTTTGAATAACGCCCTTCTCCTACCTACCTCTTCTCCATTATTTCCGAATTCTTCCAATATCCTGCTACTTTTCCACAGTCTTCTCCGATAATTCTCCACTTTTCCTGCAACCAGCCGTCGGGGGGGGGGGGGGGGGAAGTGGGAGGAAGGTGAGGGACTAGCTAAGCTTGAAACAGGGAACAACGAGAGAAGTCAATAGTCGAAAACATTTCTCTCGAAGGAGAAAACGACGCTCTTGTTGGGAATTCTCAAGTAACCACTCCTTTATATGACGCCATGAGATATCGCAGAAATTCATAAAGGCGACACGATGGTCTCAATATGGAAAAGAGATGACGAAGAAAAGTATAAAGAAGCAGTGCTTGATGGAAAAAGTTCGCAAGTTTTCAATTCAGCATATGTCCGGGCAGTCTGAGCCCTTCCTCAAAACGAGAAATCCTCATAAACACACTACACTCATAACTAAGAAAAACAAGAGATAAATGGAAGAAAGGATGAACCTATCATCGTGGAGGTGATGCAATTGGCGAGAATACCACCATGAATGGGCCAATTCAACGCCCTTCTTTCTCCTGCATATGGCCAATTGGACGCCACGTTTGATACCATCGTTGCCTGATCGACTGGTGACAACTGGGAGATGCTCGTCCATAGCCATGATCGCTCACCAGACAATCGTTGAGATACTCTGCAATGAAAAAATTTCGGAATGAAAGCACATTGTGGAGGAATTCAGCGCTATTCGGCTTGGGAGGGGCTATCTGGCATGTTCGCAGGCCTTTTTAGTAGGTAATATAAATTACACGTCTCACCTTGGTAAGACCTGTACACTCCAGTCAAGTTTTCACGAAGCCCCTGCTACTTCATGGCTTAACAACAAGAATTTGCAAGTGCCCTTAAAATACACCGACAGTGATCGACGGGAACCAGCAAAATGCCCCCATCAAGCCGAACTGCATCGGAAATTCTCAATAATACTAGATTAGAGCCTGGTGTTGTCAGTGTGACAACCCGGACTATCTTTTGCAGCCAAAACGCTCCTAGGTTAAGGAGCTGAGGACGCTCTGCCCAAGCACTCAGCCTAATTTACTTTTTACACCAGGCCATCCGTTCGACAAATGCTGTCCCTCAAACTGATGCAAGGAAATAGTAATTAAACGTTTCAAACATTATGCTAACGATAGAATAAATCGTAGACGCTACTCACGACGAGGGAGGAGGGGGGGGGGCGGGGGCAGTTTGCAATTCTGTTGCCTCCGCCGTAGTTCCGACTCACGCCTACGTCGGTGGAACCTGTGAATTCTTGTGGGATCTGGAGCAAGTTCGTCCACGCCAACTTAACAAAACGCCTGTCAACCTTTGTGGCTCGATGAATAGCTGCTATAAAGACGGGTAGGCACGTAGATGGGAAGTAGAAAAAGTGCAATTTTTCCCCCTCCCCACTGTCGCCGAACTGCCCCTAAATCTACACGGTGAAATATGAAAGTTCGTTCCTTTCTGCAAAGATCAGAGACGTTATAACAGTAAGGGGGGGGGGCGGGACCCAGGACCTGCAGGAGCAAAAGCTGATCTTACTGTGATTTTAAAAAGCCGTTCTGGTGCAAGGAACGGTTTACCCCCGGTAATCGCTTTTGCCAACCTCCCCGAGGCTTGGCGCAAAAAACCCTCACTCCGCTGGCTCGCTTTCCTTGAACTTCTCAGCTTTCTGGAACATCCCTGTTACAATTGTAAATAAAAGAAAAAAGGCGTTATCGCACTATGATATCTCCACAAGAAAAATGTATGTCATGGCCACTCACGTTGTTCGGGTTATCGGAAGAATCGTCGGGTTTCGCTTCTGTTGGAAGTTTCGCTCGTTTCCATATTGTCAATTACTTGTGGGGACGGTTCCTTACTGGAACTCGCCGTATGTAAAGACAATACTAAACCCGCTAGGATTGTGAGCAGGGAATACGGAGAACCTTTATGATGGCACGAACAACTCGCACTTCTCCTCTTGCGCGTGCGACGTCGCGACGTCGTGGTAGCGGAATTGCGTGCGACCTGTTGAGGTGATGGCTAAGGGCCGTGCCATACATGACGACGTTGTGGAAACTGACGGAATTGCGGAAAGAAATGGCATACGTATCGCGATTTGAAAACTGCATATTTGCAAATTCCGCGGAATTTGCAGAAACGCAGAAATGACGGAAAAGAAATGACAGGAGTCAATCGCGTTGGTCCTGGCCGTCGTGCGGAACTGGGAGAGAAATGCAGAATCCGCAGATTCTGCCAGATTCCGTCACTTCGGCCAATTCCCCGCACTTCTGCATATTGCCACGGTTTTTGAAACGATAGACATGAGATTTCGTTTTCTGCCAGTTCCCAATTGCGCTATGATCGTGCAAATTTACTGCAATTCTGCACATCCGTGGTTGCCCTGCATTTCTGCACTCATGTACAGTCGGATTGTATCTCATCGGACGGTGGCGGTGCTTCGTCCACGTTGGCAAGCCTTCGACGCCGCCGCCGTATCCGATAATGACTGATTACGGCGCAGATTGAACGATTTCTATTGTTGTTTCAGCTTCGCAGAAGCTGAAATAACTTCTTCGTGCAGCTTTAAAGTAAGATAAGGTGCAGTATGTTTTAATGAAGCTTTTGATTTTTCATTCTGCCATGAATTATACCAATACATCGCCAGTAAACGAAGACATTCAAAAAAAAAAATGCGAAAAGAAACAAGAAACAAGTTTTCTAAAGGGAGTTTCCATGCTAAATTCTTGCAGAATCTAATCTAATTTTTCGGCGAACATACTCACCTCCGAAAATTGAAGCTGAAAACTAGAAATAATTCAGGCTTTTAGCAAGGACGAATAGTTGCGGAAAGAAACAACAAAAATTTACCTGCAGTCAAATCTAGCTGATTGGTAGCGTTAGCAATTATCGATCGCCGAGAGTGACGAAGCGACTGAAGACCAGAGTGAGTTAGAGGGCGGCGGCGGTGATGCCGGCCCTGTAAGAACGGCGGAGTCACGTGTCAGAGGACGGAGAGGCAATGATGATAATTCGCTACAATTTCTTGGTTTTCCATCGACGCGCAACCACCGCGGTACTGCCTCGCACGGCATGGGTCGTACGGGAAAAACGCCCACCGTTCCCCGCTGACGCGCTCCCTGTATGAACGCGCGCCTCACAGCCAGCTTCTCACACTCGCCGCCCAAATCGTCTAACAGCAGGAAAAATCAGGAAGACCGCCGCCTTGGAGCAGGTCTTTTAGCTGGAGTGCGCTATCTCTTCAATGAAATGTTTGCTAGTCACTTCTTCCTTGTAATATATTGCCCGTGGAAGTTGTAAAACTGTGCAGACTGGAATCTGTAACAATGGGGGGACTCTTCATGAAGGGGCAGTTTGTTTGAAGCAGCACCAGCCGGCTCATATTTACGCCACGGCTGGTCACAATGCTCAGTACGTGGTGGCTTTTTCTCGAGAAGCGTTTCCCAACGTCCACCGCAATAAGAATCAGAAACTATAAAAAAGCCGTTTTCCTCCAGAGTGGGTCATCTCCTTGATACGCAGTAACACACTGAGCATATCATTTCTTGACCAGCTTCAAAGTCCGATAAAAAAGCGTGAGTAGGTATTGGTCCTTGGAAGTTATAGCAGCAACCGAGCAAACTCTTTTCCATGCAAGACCAAGTCTTCAGATCGTCTACAAACATGCCAATTAATCGACCGTAATGGAGCAAGAGAAGCCGAGTCCAGCGTTGCCAGAGACCTCGAACTTCTTCTTCTGTTGGCATGCCCAATCACGGCTCAGTGATTACTGCTACAAATAGTATGATGTGATTTTGTATGATGTGTTAGAGACTTAGCATCTATCCCATTCCTCTCTAGTACAGACGAAGGCCGTCAGCGCAGATTCGTTCTTCGCGATTCGGTCGCGCCCTTGACACGATCGATACGCATGTTTTCGACCTTATCGATCGCGTCGAACGCGCACCTTCGCGAAGTCTGGACGCTCTAACCGAATCATATCTACGATAACTTGATATGTCCTTTCGCCTGCGAATTTCATTCGTGTGGGCCATATATGTATGACAAGACCTACGAGTAGAAGGCAGGAGATCCCGGCTAACCAGAAATACATGTTTTCGAGCAAATCATGCTTCGAATTGAATGATTCCAATTTCCAATGAAGAGCTCTTACGCTCTGCCTTTTCCAGTGAATCACCGGATCACCTATCATTTGGCAAGGGCCACGTTCATAGCTTACAACACTGAAGAATAGGTGAATAGCGAAGCTGGTAGAATCAGATTATAAACTTAGATCCGCGAACAGGGAGCATAGTCCACTTGAGGTTTTCGGAATTGAAACCTATCTAGTCTTGTTCGTGGTTCCTTCCGAGCCCATCATTTATCCCGTGATTATCGTGTAATTGCTTTTCCAGACAACGTGGTATGAGTACTATGCAAAAGTTCGAAACACTGCGCAGACGAACATATGTTATAGAAGGGCATCACAAAGCTAACGATGACAGCGTTTGATTTCGCGTGAGTACTGTTAATTTTACTGGGCGAAGTAGTTCTACTTGTCGCTGTGGTGGTTGTCAGAATATAAATTCAAGAAAACATGAATTGTGACTAAAAATGGTGCTGACGTATTTTAGGGGTTTCACCAGGGAACGTCACTGGTTGGGGATTTTAGTCGACTCTCTACGACTCCCTCCCTTTTTTGGGAGTTGGTACGACCCCCCCCCCAGCCCTCTGTCCTTCCTCATCGAATCTAACCGTCGAGCGGGGGGGGGGGGGAGAGACATATAGTACGCATGACACAGGAAAATCACCACAAGCCAACCACCAGCTCTACAACGCCAAATAAGACCCCCTCCCAAAAATGACAAATTCGACCCCCTTCCTTTACAACGTCCATGAAGCGAGAAAAATCAACTACCAAAATAAATTTTTTTCAGCCCAAATACGACCCCTCCTACTGGGGATTCCCCAACAACGATGTCCCTGGCGACGACGCGGCGCGCGGCGAGCAATGACTCATCTGTTCTTCCGGTTCTTGCTCGACGAGATAATGTTCAAAACAGCCCACAGATGGTTCCAGGCATACTTGAAGCGCGAATCTAGCAGAATAAAACAAACAGGATTCACCGAGAACTTGTTGAGAAATCATACAGAAGCGGAAAATAAATGGACTTCGTGTAGCAAGCTGAAGTGAATTGGTGAGGTAAAAGTTGTGGTTCTGTTGTGAGGAAACAGCCCAAGATCAATTTCTGCGATTTGCTAGTGAGCTATTGGAGTGTATTTCTTTTTAGATTCTGCGAACCAGTCAACTTGATTTAAACGTGTCACTTTTAGCAACGACGTGGCGTTCAGCCTAGGCCAACTTCATTTCTCTTTAGTAAGAGTCTTCCACCTTCTATTCTTTCTTCGCTACTTTTCGGCATTGAGTTTTTATCTTTTGTATTGGCCTTTAGGGAGGTGTTATGTTCCATTGTCCTAACACATGAGATTACCTCTATTTTGCTGAGTGGGAGCAAAGAGCACATGAGGTCATCGCTCGCTCCCCCTCCCAAATACGTTAGCACCCAAATGTAAAAGTTGCAATCTTAGAATGA